GCCTTAAGTGATCAAGTTTACGAAGTGGTAAAGAGTAAAAACACTCAAATGTTGTATAAAAATCATAAGTTAAACTCGCACTCACACCCATATAAGCAAATTAGCTCATAATGGACATAAAAAACATAATATAAGATAATAAATAATACTGAAATGTAACTTTCATTAAAATAAAACTAAAGTTTGTTCCCACAGTGGTGAGACCGTGGGCAACAGATTACAGCTTTAATACAAGAAAATGAAATGCTAAGCTTAAATTAAGAAAAGAATAAAAGAAGACTTCAACTAGTAGTGCTTTTAAGGGATGATATTTAAATGAGCCCAATGCCTCTTTATGTAGGAAGGAGTAGAGATGGCCAAATGGGCCCGGCCCGGCCCGGGACCGCCGGAGGACCGGGACCGGGACCGACAAAGGACCGGCCCGGGACCGGGACCGGGACCGGTAAGGACCGGTTATGGGACCGAAAACCGGGACCGGTTAAGGTTTTTGGTAGTTTCGTGGGACCGGGACCGACCGGGACCGGGACCGGTTATGGGACCGACTATGGACCGGCCCGGCCCGGCACGAAAATTCAAATAATATTATAAATAAATGTATTTTTAAATAATTTTATAATGTATTTTTATAAGAAAACGTAATTTTAATTATATTAAAACGCATTTTTAAAGTGTATTTGAGTGACCCAATTGTAAATTTTATAATGTATTAAAAATATATATCATTAAAAAAATCAAAAAAAAAATCTTATTTTTTTAATGAAGGACCGGCGGCCCATAACCGGTTATAGAGTACCTATACCGGTCCTATTATTTTCGACCGAGACCGGGACTGGTTACGCCGGGACCGGTTATGGCCGGTTATGAGAAATGTGAGGACCGATTGGGACCGGCCCGGGACCGATTTTTGGCCATCTCTAGGAAGGAGTGATAAGGATGAAACACATTACCCAAAGGAAATGGACCTTACACAAACCTTCTGGACAAAAACCATTCAAGAAACCACAAGGGTGGTGCTTGATTGGTTTGAGTTTGGCTCCAAATGTCAAAAGTACCTCAAGATCTCAGGTTCAAATCCAAGGGGGAATAAAAATCCTCCTGTGGCCACTGAGGTTCAAATGCAGTGACTCCGGGCTATCTGTAAAGCAGGTGGTCGCCCTAAGATTAGTCGGCTCGCATAACGGGTTGGATATCCAGGTTAATAAAAAAAAACCCATCCAACAATCTTTTTTAATCCAAAATTTAGCTTTCCAAGGTAGCTCCCGCTGTAGGATATCTCTTATAAAGATTTTTAAAAAAACATACTCCAAAAAGTTGAAGTTTATCAAAAAATTCGTAAACTTCCCACAGTGTCCAGAAAGTGCAGGTTTTCGGAATAAATTCTCATCCTATGTGTTTCATCATATTTTTAAAACTTTTTAGAATAAACGGGGAAAAACAGGGAATTGGGTATTTAATATATGCTAAAAATGGGAGAAATAAATAAGAAAATAACTCTAATAAATTAGAGTTATCACACCCCCAAACTTGAGGTATTATTTGTCCTCAAGTAAAGAAAATAAAAGCAATAAGACAACTAAAAAGAATGAGGAGCACAAAACTTTACGGAGGGGCATTGAAATCTTGTCAAACTTAGATGATGTACGACTTACTTTTTTAATCTTTGAGGTGCAAAAATTAATCGGTAGGGCTTACCAGTTTAGTGTATTTGGCTAAAAGATCCTCAAACTTGTCTAAAACAACATATTGATTGAATGATTTCACTTTGTAGCACTTTTGTTGTATATTTGACATTTTTAGAAACCCAAAATTTGATATTTCACTTTTGATATTTGGGTTAAAACACTTTGCTTTTTCTTTTGTGTCTTCCTATTTTTGAATACAACTGATATATCTATTTTTTTTAACAACACTTAGAGCATATACTCCCCCAAACTTAAATTGAATAATGTCCGCACTGTGAATCCGGGTTAAAGTGTGTGGCTAGGTAACGAGGGTAAGTGTTTCAACCAAAAATGAAAAATAACCTACGTCCCTTTAATTTTTGCAAACCTAAAAGAATCCATCAAAGAAAATCGTACCTGAAAATAAGGGACAAACTAACGAAACCAAAATATATATATATATATATATATATATCTATTCCCAAATTGTTAACAAAAGCTAAGAGTATCAACAACCTTGCTATATCAACACAAAAAACAAGGATGGAAAATGTAGCAAATACCCAAAAGATTTAGACAAAATAAAGTTTCAAAATATGATGATTAATCACCTAGGAGAATTTAATCCGACCGCATCACCTTGACTGGCCGAAGGCTGACTCGTTGCATCAGAAGTGGAAGTACGACAAATTCTTGGAAGTCGAACTTGTGGTGAACAAAGACCTCCGAAAAAATGCGGGATATCGGCAGCCATCATAACATTTTTTTTTACAAACAAAAAATTGTTCACCACCCTATTCCAGTCAGGTGTATACGTCTAGAATTTTTCTAAACAAGCAGTCAAACCAGCAACTCGGTTCTCAACTCTGGTGATCCGATCATTGATTTGTTGCAAGAAATCACCAATGGAGCCCATCTTCTGGTTGCACTCCTCCCATTGACCGGTAATCATAGAGTAGTATCGGTCGTGGGTTTATGCATTCGATTGACGGTGCCTTGATCAAGCAAAGAGTGACTTACTCTCAATTTGATACACAAAAGACTATTCATCGCACCATGCGTTATTACGGTTGATTAGCTCATAGGCGTGTGCCAAATCTGAAATGGTTTGAAATCCAAACCAGAACAAAAAATAAGGTGTTTATGCAAAACCCAAATGCCCAGAAACCCAAAAACCGACTTTTGGGGGAATTTTGGGTTCTTTTGAGTTTGATTTTTGTTCTGAAAACTCGAAATATATATACATACATACATATATAGAGGGAGAAGCATGGGAAAAGTTAACTAATTTGCGAGAAGGTGAGAAAGAATATGGGTCACATAATCCATTAATTAAAAAAATAACATAAATGAAAATGAGAAATAAGTTTAATAACTAGGATAATTACCATTTTGAATTGGATAAATCCTTAAAAATCAAAGTATAATCTTTTAGATTTATTATTTTTTAATTTAATTAATTCATAACCTTTTTTATCAAGTTTTATATGTTTTTTTTCTAGATATACTTTTGATAATAAAATTTTACAATTTCATCAAATATCACATGTGATACAATCAATTTATATCTAATAATTATGTGGCCCGTATTCCTTCTAGTCTTCAAGCAAGTTGGCCACCTTCTTGTTTAAACGGCTCCTACATACATGCATATATATACATACATACATAATATATATATGTTTATATATATATATATATACACATACATATATATACATACATACATATATATATACATACATAAATAGACTTGGGATCATGTGAGACCAAGGGTTTTTCGTGAGACCTGTAAGACCAATTCTTAACCCTTGGATTAGATCTATATATATAGGTTAAAGAAAGAAAAAATATATAGGTAAAAAATACCCYTACAAGGTTAAAGTTTAATGCTAAATTTTAACCATTGGATCATTAGATTATAAAATCGATCAATGAACATAAATTGGTCTTACGGGTCTCACGAAAAACCATTGGTCTTACGTGAACCCAACCCTACATAAATATATATATATATATATATATAGGTGGTATATATATATATATATAGGTGGAATAAAATGCAAACCAAATTATTTGCACAAACTATGAAAACCGTCAACTTCATTGTTTATTTTAGTGAAAAAATTTTCATGAAATTGTTTAATATCATGAAATTGTTTTAAATAGTTGTTTTCATGATGAAAATGTTTCATATATTTTTGTTTCCATGTAAAAATTAAATTGTTTCGTGTATTTCTCATTTTGATGAAATTTATTTACTAAAATTAATAGAATGGATATGATGATGTCCATAATTATTTGAAATGAAATGAATTATTTGAAAAAATTTCATGAAAAAATTTCACTAAAATAAACAATGAAATCGACGGTTTTCACGGTGGTAGAAATGACTTGGTTTGCAAAATATCTATCCCCTATATATATATATATGGGTTGGATTCACGCGATACCAGCTTGTTTTCATGTGACCCATGAGATCACATTTTTACACATGAAAATTCACATCAAAACATTGTGGAAATAAAAAAAAGTCCAAACATTCACAACAAAAATATTGTGAAAGTTGTGTTTACATTATTTTACTGTGAACTTTGAAGTGTAAAAAGATAGTCTCACGAATCTCACGAAAACAGGTTGGTCTCACAAGATCCAAAGTGTGTGTGTGTGTATAATGTGAAATGTGAGAATGAAAGTTAAGATGAGAAGCATAAAAATGGATCTGGACCCTGATCACTTTTAATCTCTTGCACACTCATGAATTGTGTTTCTCAGAGGAACTGATATGGTGTATCTCGATGCATCTCATCCTAGTGTGCATCCAACGGTAGAGATCTCTTCTTACGCTTCTCATTTTAACACTCCTCACCGGAACCCAACTCTACTATATAAATATATTTGAAGGATCATATGATAAAGAGAGTTAAGTTGAGAAGCATAAGAAGAAATCTAGACTCAGATCTCTTGATCATCTTTAATCTCAAACTCACTCATGAATGACACTTGATACGAGGATTAATCTGGTGCATCTCAATCAATTTAATCTCAATGCATTTCAACCTAATGTGCATCGAAGGTGGAGATTCTTTTTTACGTTTCTCACCTTAACTCTCCTTCTCACCAGAATTCCGGAACCCTACCTTATATTTATTATCTAATTATCTTTTAAAAATTCTAAAAATCATAAGCATATCACCGGTTTATCAATCCTCTAAATCGATTAAAATTTATTTTCAAAATCGATTGAATACCTATACATTATAACTAAACGCATACCCGAAACCCGACCAACCGAACCCGAAGCAATCCGAAATCCAAAACCCAAAAATCGAGGCTTGATTTTCATATCCGAAGTCCGATCAGGTTTATAAAACATATAACACCAAAACCCAAATTCCTTTGATACATTAAAAGAATAATGAAGAACAAATTGAATTATTATATGAAACTATACATATACTTTACAACTCTTAGTTGCTTCCAATGCATCTGTATGATTCTAAGGCTTTCAAGATTCAAAGATTTCTTGATTTCACCTACCTAAGCATGTCTGTGGCTTGCAACTGTAGCCCACTCAAGACTGGCGAGATGCTGAAGGTGCTACCATCGCTCGTGAACGAAGGGTGCCCGAGTGGTGTCGGCCGATCGGGAATTGCGGGCACTTCGATATCGCCTTCTAGCATCTTCAACGCATCCATAATCGTAGGCCGTAAAGCAACCATCACATGAGCACATAAAATGCCAACGAGCACGAATCGCTCCATGATCCCTCTCGGGTTCATCGTTTCACTACTCGTCCCATGTCCCACCAACGAAGGATCCAAAGCCTGCAACACTTTCCCTTCTTTTATAAGCGACCAAGCCCAATCGGTAATCAAGAAACCACGGGGCGAATCCGAGCAAGAAAGATCGAGAGCTTTTCTACCACACATGATCTCCAAAATCACGACCCCAAAACTATACACGTCGCTTTTCTCCGTCAGCTGCCCGTAAAGCGCGTATTCCGGGGCTAAATAGCCATGGGTCCCGGCTACACGAGTAGTAAGATGAGACTGTCCTTCTCTACTTTGCTTGGCTAAACCGAAATCGGCCACTCGAGCTCCCATATTCACATCCAGAAGTATATTTGTAGCTTTGATGTCTCTGTGAAAGATAGCAGGCTTCACCCCGTAATGAAGATAAGCTAAACCTTTGGCTACATCCAAAATTATGCTCTTTCTTTGAGGCCATGTTAATGGAGGTTTTCGACTCATTGCTGGAAACAAATGGTCATCAAGATTTCCATTCGACATATACTCGTAAACAAGATATCTCTGATCATCTCTCCGCTCGTAATCTTCATCTGCGCCATGAATGCAACACCCTTTAAGTGGAACAAGATTCCGATGCCTTAAATTGCTAATGATCTCAACTTCGTTACAGAAATCATCGGTCCCTTCAAACTCGGATTCTATAATCTTTTTAACAGCAACCACAGATCCATCAGATAGAACCCCCTTGTAAACAACCCCGAATCCACCTCTGCCGATGAAATTCTTTGGTGAAAAGTTATCAGTTGCCTTCTCAAGATCATGAATCTTGAACCATATTGAACCAGTGTTCGGACGCCTTCTTGGCCTACCCGATTCGAATTCATCCATGCCCAATTCATCGATCTTTTCCCTTTTCCTCTTCCTATCCCACCAAAAGTATAACCCAACTAAACAAGAGATGACCACGATAGCAACAAGTCCTCCAATCAATCCAAATATCAATGAAGAATGTTTAGTTTTATGGGATTTGGGCAAAATGTTGATCCCAAAGGTACAAGATACAGCACCATCACTTTCAGGCCCGAACTTATTGACAATAGCAGCAGCATAAAGAACAACAAAGTAAAAACACTCGTTTGAATGAGAAGCGTTACCATCTTTGAGAGCCAGTTCGCTGTGAACCCGTAACCCTGCTCTGAGACAATCATCACAGGCAGTAAGCTCAGTGAGATCATCTTGACACGCAGAATCAAGAACGGTATGGTTCCCCAACGTTCGGCGCCAATCTTGGACGGTCTGAATTGCAGCACAGGTGTTCGACGATATGACAAACTGATGAGGGTCAAAACAAAAGGTAGCGAGATTACTGGGGAGGGAAAGGGAGTTGAGTTTGTTTTGGAAATCGGAGAGACAAGATGAGGATGTTGCGAGATCAGGGAGGTGGAAGAGAGAGGTTTCTTTGAGGTGTTGGGCTAAGGCGATGCCGAAAACGCTAAGCAAGGTCTGACAACAAGAGGTGGAATTGCCGACGGGTTTCGCTGAGTCGTCGGAGTGGCGGCAGTCGGCAGTCGGCCATGGAATTCTGAGCACGTGGTCAAAATTCAACGGACAAGAGGTCGAATTGGTTGGCGTTTGAGACAAAACCAGAGATGAAGAAGATAGCATCAGGAAGACGGCAGCAGTTAGAAAAAGATTCATGTTTGATTGATGGGTTTGGAAATTTCGCAACTGAAATTGATGGGGATGAAGGAAACAAAATAGAATCGAAATTGGTGGAGGTTTCATAAATGGCTGGCGCTGGCGGATGATGCAAGAAAGAACGCAGAAAAAAATGGAGATGGTGATGTTCCCAAAACGATAACCAGTCAAAGACTAGACTTCCCTCTTTCCTGAAGGGCATTGATAACACTCCTTTGGACTTTTCTACATATTCTCATAAATCATGTAAGACAAAAATGTTTTTCCTTTTTCTGAATCTGTTCTGATCTGTTTTGATCTGTTCTGGTTTGTTCCGATCTGGTCTGGTCTGTATATTAAACAATAATGTTATTTGGTGTCTAGGATTGTTTATAAAAATAATTTATTGACTTATTCCGGTATGACATCGGTAATACGCATTTTTGAGTGTTTGGATAAACAACTTATACCAGTGCTAAACCGGTAATAAAAAGTTTTTGAAGAAGTTAAGACTTATAATAAGTTAATAAGTGTTTTTGTAGGGAAAAAAACATAAATTGTTTCAAATAAGCAATACCAAACACCCCTAAAATGTTCATAGAATTTGTATTCCACTTTTCAAGGAGAGGAATGAAAGAGAGAGGATTTACCTATTTAAGGTTTTAATTTTTTAGTTTTCTTTTTATATTTATTTAAATATTAGGTTTCGTATATAATTATTATTTATCGTTTAAATTATGTATTAAAAACTTAGCCCACACCTTACAAAATAATGCGTAATGTGTTACGTTACAATGAAGCCATACAAGTTAATGTGACGATAAACCCAAGCCATGACGTCATAACAAAGTTATAACGAGTTATTTAGAACAATGCAAAAAATTGAATATAAAAGAATATGGTCTTTGTTAGTTTCTTGATCTTTGTGGGGTTTTTTTCCAATGTGTAGATAAGGTTCTTTGATAAATATTGACTTTTTATTTATGTTAATTTAATTGTCTAAGTATGAAATGTTAGGTTCCATTTAAGAGAGAATTGATTAGTTTGTACTTCTGATATCTAATGTGAATTACTCGGTTGAGATATTTAAGAATATTTTTTAGATAAGCTAAAAAGGATATAGTAATTATATTTTTGACAACTAAGTAAAATATAATTTTGTTATTAGAAAAATTGTTTATCTGGATAAGTGTTTACTAAGTCATATTATCTTACTAGATGTATATGATAAAAACCAAGAATCTTATCTGGTAAGAGCAAGACAAGGATCAAAAATCTTACCCGATAAGTGACAGCGACGACTCTTACCATGGTAAGCGCTTACCAGGTAAATTGTTGCATACGATGTCGTTTTGGTAAACTAAAATCTTAATCTATAAGTAAATGATAATGTTAAATTTTACCGGTAAGCGCTTACCGGATAAGTGTTTGGTAAACGACCACTTAGTTTTTTAACCGAATAACCGAAAACGATTAAATTGAGCCTTGTTCAGTTCAATGATCAAGTTATTTTGGAAAAAAAAAATGAAACTTGAATAACTCATACACCGATTTAGTCGACCAAGTAACATCCCTACTCAATATTGATATGATGTTGTTGTAACGTATGTGAAACTCAAAATGTTTTTTAAGATACACTCTCCAAAATAGATATTTTAAACCGTAAACGCTTAAAATAACAATTTTTTGTATATGTTTTTACCCATTTGAAAGAATGGTGGTGGAAGGGGATGGTGGTTGTAAGGATGATGATGGTGGCGTGGTGGTGGATGGGGCGAGGGTGGGGGTTGAGTGGATAGGGGTGGCAGCGACAATAGTGGGTAAAATTCAACATTATCACTTACTTACTGGGTAAGATTTGTGTCTACCAAAAAGGCATCGTAGACAGCAATTTACCCGGTAAGCGCTAACCGTGGTAAGAGTCGTCGCTCTCACTTATCGGGTAAGATTTTTGGTCTTTACTTTCACTTTTAGCGGGTAATATTTTTGGTTCTTGTCATATTCATTCGGTAAGATAATGTGACTTGTTAAGTACTATACTCCGGTAAGCATTTACTAAACGACCCCTAAATACAAACTTATAGCTCGTAGTATTTATTAGACGAACATGTAATGTTTGTTTAAATTGTTTTTTTTTATTAATGGAACATTGTAATGTTATAATACATTTTAATGTTCATAAAATAAAATTATATATATATATATATATATACTAGTTGTGTGTCCGTGCAATGCGGCAGAGTATAAATTTTATATAAATGTAAGCGAGAATATTGATTGACAATTACAACAAATAAACACATGATTGTCATAGAAAGACCAAATCAAATGGAAAATGTTTGTCCTTTAAGTTTGAATATGAATATATTATTTTGAACGAATTTTATGTGAACTGGAATTGCTGGATTACGATATTTTCAATGTAGTAACATTTGTTGTTCCTATATTTTAATTACTAATGTAGGCATGATGGGTTTTTTTCCTACACTTGTAATTTACAAAATGACATTCGGAATTATGTTTGAATAAACTGGAAAATAAAATCCTTTGTAAGAAATTCATTGAGATATTGTTCAAAACGTTCATATGGAGTGAGTGAGAGAGCGATGAAGAAGGTAATCGACGATTTGATAGGAATCGTGGAGACTAAAAGTGAGTCCGCCACCCAAACTCAATTGCAAGAGCTAGAAGAGGAAACTATGGGAGCTGAATCATCATTCTTTGGAGCGGGAATTATCAATCTGGGAACATAAGGCCTTTGAATTTTGGAAAAATCGAGGTTTTTGTCAATGGGTTTTCTAAAGGAAACTGAAAATTCGGGAGGAGATAAAGAATATTGTGAACATACCAAACTTGGTTTTTTAGGATTGTTTTAAAACCATGCATTAACACCTTGTACATCATGCTTTACATATTGTAATTAAGAGATTTCTTTAGCTCATGCATAAAATGCGAGTACTTTGTGTCTTATTAATTGTATTTAAGACTTTGATGTTGTTTATTAATGTAGTGTTATATATATATATATATATATATATATATATATATATAGGGTTGGATTCACGTGAGACCAAGGGTTTTTCATGAGACCCGTAAGACCAATTTATGTTAATTGATCAACTTTATAAGTTAATTATCTAATGGTTTAAAGTTGCACGATAGCAATTTTGTGATTATTGAGAAGTCTTGTAGCAATTTTGTGATTATGAATGTTCAGATTGTAGATCTAATTCAAGGGTTGAAAATTGGTCTCATGGGTCTCACGAAAAACCTTTGGTCTCACATGATCCCAAGTCTATATATATATATATATATATATATATAGGGTCAGGTTCAAATGTTAACCAAAGTTTTTGTGTTAACTTTGTTAACTGATCTTTGCTATTGAATCTTTCAATAAACGGTTGTGATTAATCATGATAAAAACTTATTTTTTAAAATTTAAAACTTCATAAAGATAAGTGAACAAAGTTGAAAAGGGCATTTATGTAATTTTCTTTTTTATGTAACTTCCGTATCATTAATTGGGAGTTACAAAATCTCATTATTTTTGTTAATGTAAGAACCATATGAACACAACTATATATATATATATATATATATATACATATATGAACCATTGTGTCAAATACGAACAAAAAATTGACATATATATGAACTTGGATTGCATAGCATTTATAAACACAATATAAACATAATAAGAATAACTGTAACGCGAAAGGAAATAAATAAAAAAACAGGTATGAACACAATATGAACAACTTGTGAATAATAATTTCTTCATTATGAACACATTCAGGAGCGATCATTTGTCAAATAGAGTTTTATGCATGCATTGCATTCACACCGTTTAAGGTTCGTATTATGGTATCTCATCTCGCCGGACTGAAGAGCCACATAAAATATTTTTTATTTAGTATTCTCTCCCTACTACATACAAACCATCTTGTTTTATGTCTTCGTTCTTGTTTTTTTTTTGGCATGAAGACGAACATCAGACCCGACATTGTCCGCGTACGTCCTGTACATCTTTTCCGCTTCATTTATAGATACGAATTGTGCGTGCGTTAATCTTTGGTTTAAGCTCGTCATCAACATTGGGGATAAAATACTTGATTCCATTTGAACACTCTCCGACATCGTACTCCGTTTCATGTTCGGAGGGTGTAAGTATGTGAACACCTGTTGATACCATCATAGTTAGTAAAATCAATGAACATTAATATTACATAATTCGAGTAATCAACTGCAACAACCAGAAAATAGATTTATTTGGTGCGAATTAGATAATAATTTAATGACATGAGATGATTAATGTGAACATATATGAACAACATGTGAGATCTATTTGGTTCAGGTTCACAAGCTATTCATAGACGGAAATAATTGACATGAACATATATGAACAAATTGTGAATATGATTAAGCCACATAGGAAGAGAACATCGTATGTTCATATATGAACACATAACCCCCATATTATAAACATCGGGTGCAATCACTTACACAATTTGACATATATGAACACCAGGTGCAAGAACGTGGCTTATATAAAGATTTGAGAGCAAATTTTTAACCAACGACTCGGTAAGTTGACATGAACATATATGAACAACATGTGAGATCACTAACAGGAATMGGTATTCATATGATGGGGGTCATTAACATGAACGTATACAACTGTGAACATGATGAAGCCACATATAAAGAGAATATCGTAGAAAATATATGAACACATAACCCCCATCATATGAACATCAACTCAATCACTTAGGCCCTGTTTGTTTTTCTTAAAAAATCACTTAATTGCCTCTTAAGTCTGACCGATTCAGACCTAGAGGAATTAAGTGCGTTTGTTTTTTTTTTTTTTGAATTAAGTGCTTAATTCATCTGATTAGGTCTGATTTATTTAGAGGTAAAACATAGTTTGAATTCCTCTTAACGCCTCCATCTCCCTACGCAGTACGCTCCGGCCCTCTCATCTCTTTCTTGCCTTCGCCTACGCAGTACGCTCCGGCCCTCTCCATCTCTCTCTCGCCTTCGCCTACGCAGTACACGCTCCCTCTCCATCTCTCTCTCGCCTTCGCCCCTCTCCATCTCGATACT